GCTCTCACAAGGGTCTAGCGTAGCCTTGGCAATGCCATGTCCCAGATTGAGCTAAACCAAATTCTTGAATGGAAAGAGATGGGGTGGTCTCTGTTAAATATCCTGTGAATACAGGCCAGTGGTGAAAGCTCAGGTCTTCAAGCCAGAAATTTTGGTACTGTTCCAAGTCCTGCTCTGGTCCCTGTGAAAATAATGGATCATCTTTGCTTTTCCATGGACTTGATAACATTTCGCTGCCATGATTGTAAGATACCATATGGAGTTAGGAGTCATAGGCAACAAACTGACTTGTGTTCTCTGTCCCAGGCGTAGGCTTGACTCAGCATGACGATTCCTCTGATGAGCTGGAATTTTCTGCTTGTGACCCAGAAGGACCAAAGCACCACCTGGTACCTGAAACAGATGCCATTTTTGGCCCATCCAGCGGCTTGTTACTCGATGAGGACCAGGAAGACTGGGACTTGTTCAGCGAGATCACAGCCTGCTACCAAAGCAAAGCCCGGAAGAACACCAGTGTGGACAGCTATGACCTCCTGGAAGAGGAGGGCTCCTTCTGCTCCCTCGGCTCCATCCGCTCCCTCAGCCTGGCCAGGGACCGGTGCTCCTCGGAGCCCAGCGTCTGCCTCAGCTCCCAGCCCGCTCCCAGCCACGAGCCGGTGGCCCGGCAGTCCAGCTGTGACGCCACCATCATGCGCAGCCACATGGACTGTATCCACCGCCTGCGGCAGCTGCAGGCCGAGAGCCAGAAGCTGATTGACGAAGGTCTAAGCCCTGGGGTTAGTAAGGCCAGGCAGAACTTGTGGCAGTCACCTCAGACCAGCTCTAGGGTAAAGAAGCTCAGCCTTCAGAAATCCAGCCTGTCCAACAGGTCCAGCTTCTCCAGCCTGTCCTCTACCACCACCTCCCCGTCCGCCTCCTCGCTTAGCTCCTTAGACAGTGCCTTCTCCTACTGCTCCGAGTCCTCAGCCGTCAGTCCCACAGACATCTCGGCCCTGCCCTTCATGTTCGGCACCTCTGCCAGGCTTCATGCTGTGTCCCCCAAGATTGCCAAGAGGGCCCCGAAAGAGTGGCACAAGTCCTTCACCTCTCCTGTGCCTTTACATCCGTGTGACCTGGAAGGTTTCCAGGGGTATGAGCCCAAGCCTGTGGAGAGCACTCGCTGCTTTGGCGAGGGGAGGAGGTGTCCGTCGGTCAGCGGCGCTGCTGCGGGGAGCCCACGAACTGGCGGTGACTGGGAAGAAGAGGAGGGACAGCTGAGTTGTGCGGGGGGCCCTGGCCCAGGGCTCAGCAGCCAGGATTATGCCAAAGAGTTTGAACAAATGCCAGAGCTCCCAGCTGCCAGCCCAACCGGCAAGAAGCCCCCAGAGGTCAGCCCCCAGCAGCACAGGGAGAAGGCAGTGAAGAACATAGCAATCAGAAGCGTTGCTGCCTGCCCGCCAAGCCAGGAAGGCCTGAAGCGCACCAAGATAACGTTTTATGTGGCCCCAAATACAGAAAGCTCTTGGGGGCTGCCGGAGGATGAGGAGGAGGAGAGCCCCACGGCGAACAACAGCAGCAGTGGGCAAGGCCTGCCCAAGGGCTTGCAGACTGTCCGAGTCCACATCCCCCAGACAGTTTTCTACGGGCAGAACACCCCCCTGGTCCTGCAGTCCATCTCCAGGCGCTGCCACCAGGAGCCGGTGATCCCGTCCCTGCAGGCAGAGCGCAGGGGTAGCCCCCCCCGTGCCCCCACGCCCCAGGAGCCGCAGAGCCAGCCGGTGGAAACAGCGCAGGCGCCAACCCCCAGCCAGGGCTTCAGCACCTTCAGCCACACCATCCGCATCATCCTCCCCACCTCCATTCGGAACACTGTCAGGGAGTATTTCAAGCACGATGAAACCCAGCCCTGTCCCACGGCCGAGGCAGAAGCGGTGGAGGATGAACTCCTTCGGAGCAGGGAGCAGTGGCTCAGGGGCCAGCCTGCGGCAGAAGCGGGCACAGAGGAGCACAGTGCAGTGGCCTTCGCAGAAGAGACCTTTGTCTAGGGGAGATGGGTGTGGAAGAACTGAGTATTTTTTTGTGTATGATGTGCAGCAAAATGGAATTTGTAAGATATGATCAGGGTGTGAAGAATTTAGCAGGCTCCATGGGGCAATAAGTGTAAAGTGACACTCTTGTGTATGTAATGTTGGGGTTTAACAGTCATTTTGGCTGGGACAGGGTGGGGGGCAGGGGCTTGTTTGTTTTTTTTTCTTTACACCATTTTTCTACAGCAGAGATTTCACTGGCTGGTGTCTAGGGGGCTGAACGCCACCAGACTCTCCCTGCCTGTGAATAAGCTGACCTACAGGGTCTGACTTTTTTTTTTTAAAAAAGCTGTAAAGGAGAAATTCTTATTTTCTTCAGCCACTTGTTGCTGCTGTGTGTGGATGTCCAGGGAGCTGGGACAGCTAATGCTCCATCAGAATTAGTTAAAAATCTTTATGCTTGCACAAAATTCTCCACTGTTCACCACCACCATTCATCCAGAGGAATACCCTTCACCTCCATCCCAGAAAGTGCTGCTGCTCCTCTCAGCTCACCTTGGTCTATCTCACATGTGGTCCACCAAGCAGAGCCCAGAGCCCAGCTTTCACTGGCAGATTGCATGTGTAACACTTTAACCCTGAGATATTGCTCCCCCCCGCCCCCAAGTAATTGTGCATTAATGCTCTTCTCATACCTCCCCCCAAGCTAGCATTTGACAGAGCCACAGCTACTACAAGGATTTTAACACTGTCACTGTGGCAGGGCTATGAATGTTTGTCTTCTTCAGTGTCCTCTGGGAGTACCTGGTCCTTTTAGCCCTAGTAAAAGGTGACATTATATTTCTGTAAATAACTCTGACATTTCAGAAGGCCCTTTTCCAGAGGCAGTGTGGATGGGGCAACTAATCAAATTCCTAGTCCTGCTGACAGGGACTGAAGAAGGATTTGGCTTTAGCATGAGGTCGAGGAGTTGTGGAAGTTGTTAGTCTCAGTTGAGAGTCTCAGTCCAAGAGCTGAGACTCTCCAGGTGGAGAGATGCACAGGCCGCCTCTTGGTGACACGTGGGGTTCCCACTAGCACAGGACCTGGCCCAGGTGCAGCAGAACGCAGCCTGGGGAAGCACTGGGCAGACGCAGGCTGCTGGGGTTGCATCACTACAGAAATGCAGCAGTGGACTCTGGGGGTGTCCCTGCGATGCCTCTCGGAACGATGCTTGAAGCACTGTAGCCACGGTGGGACTTGCTTAGAGGGTTGTGATGCTGCCAGCTGAGCTCTGAAAGAGGCTGAGAGCACCATATTAGTCTGACAGGCACTAAGAAAGTGATGGAAAAGGCCCAGCGGTTAAAAGGTTCAGGATGTTTCATTTCAAAGTGATGGGAGAGTTTTCGAAGGTGGTTTCTCTCGGAGACACTCCTTTTACAGAATTATCAGTGAATGCATGAAGGACCAGAGGAATACCCAAACCCTAATGACTGACAGGGGGTCCTGGTGGGCAGCTGTAAGTGGCCATACCTGGAGCTGCCAGAAACCTGCCATGGTTCAGTCCTTGTGCAGAGGGGAAGCCCCACTCCCACTCCCCACCATCAAATACCAGGGCAAGGAGAGAGGGGGAAGCCCACAGCCCCCATTCCAAGGTGTACAGCGTTTGATTTGTTATAGGGAGGGTGTTGAACACTCCCTGTCCCAGACCACGTCAGGGGCCCTTGTATGATGAAAGGTGCATGTAATCATAATACAACCCCCCACCATCGTTCCCCTCACACATGAACACTGATAAGGCACTCACAGCCTTTTTCCAGAGCTACAGTTGTAACTTTTTCAATAAAAGACACACAAGTTCGTCGTTGTGGTGCTGTTGTCACCTTTTGTTCCCTTGCTGTTACTTCCCTCCCTCCTATGCTTGGGCCATGGCATTTGGAAAGCACCAAACTGTGCTGAGAAGCAGTTGAGTCTCTGGCCCTGCACTCTTGGAAAGCCCAAGGAAGACAATTGCAAAACCTAGAACTAAGGGCCCCTTTCCTCAAGAGGAGAGTACCCCATCCTCACAGGAGGATGTGATGCTTGATGTCATTTTCCTGTCACATATTACATCCAACTGCTACCAAAATTCCTTTCTCAAGTCTCCCAAGTAGGATGTACCCCTCCCTGGGACAAAGAGGCACCTGGAAGTCACCAAGCAGTCTTGAAAAAGTTTCATAGCACCCAGCTTGCTGATAAAAAGAAATACCAAACAGACAGTGGTTTTCTGCCCCAGGAAGGCTACATTTTCCCTTCATGTACAGCCCTGACACAAATGGGCTTCCCTTCTCCCTCTGCCCTTTTTCAGACCCAAAGGAGAGATTTAGTCCAAGCTGGCCTGACACGTATCAGAAGCCCCACTCGGTGCCCCACCGGATGCAGTCGCTCAGGAAGACATATCATGCAGTTGGCCATCCGGGAAGCAAGGAGCCCTCAGGACCTGCTCCTGGCATAGATCAAGGCCAGACAACTCCAGCACATTTGCCTTGAAGAGACAATGACTCACAGCCTTCAGCCTCTTCTCATTTCTGCTTGGCATGTAGGATTTGTTCCCTTGCCCCACAGGCTGACAGAGACCCTGATGGAAGTTTATTTCAACCATCCCACTCCCTTCTCTGACATCCCAAAAGAGTCTCCCAAGACACATTCTCCCCCCTGCTCTGCAGGAGTCTCCTTCATTCAGAGTCCTCTGCACCACAGAACTGTCAAGGGACAGACGAGTTGGTTTAAATTGGTTGCTAAGGATAGCCTAGATTTTAACTAAATCCATAGGAAAGGTTTCTGTGCAGAATTCTGTTTGGAAAAATCGGTTAGAGATCATGGGTTCTCTATGACATTGAAATGGCAAGTTTGACATATTCATTCATACACAAGGGGAAAAATCCAGTCGAGTCAACCAGGCAACAGGATATTATACCTAAATTTCCATCAAATTCATTCTATCCCAAGCAGACTCATGTTACCACAAAAGTGCATCTCATAGGTCTATTAGACTGACTATTAGAATTTTATTTCATGTGGTATTACAGCAATGGGAAAACTTAATATTTGGAGAAAGTAGCAGGTTATGGCACATAACAATACAGTGACGTGTAACATCTTGGATTCACAGAAAGCGGTTCCTGCCCCAGGAGCTGCCGGTACCGGAGGGCTAACCAAGCCCAGCCTGTACCATCAAGCCAACAGCACACCGTCTTGTGCTTGGAACAGCTCTCTCTTAAGCTCCCCAAACTGGGAAAAATCCCCTCTACAGTTAAAGAGCCAAACCTTGCAAAATTCCCAGCAATTACTTAGAATAGCAGAATTCCTTAAATTTCAAAGGAGAGGGTGAGTCATAGCACAGATGTTTACTGTCCCCCGCCCAGGGAAAGGTGAAGCCATACGCTTTAGTCCAGTTGTATTCAGAGCACTTAGGCACTTAAAACATGTACCAAAACCCACAGTATTAAGCTTCGTTTAAATAAGAGATTTGTTGAACAGACATTTATACTGAATCAGACCTCTACAGTGTACCGCAAGCCAGCCACAAAAAACAATAGTATTAACCCAAAGCGAGTACCCTGCCACACCTAACATGAGGATGTGAGTTGTGCAGGAGTTGTTTCCAGCTACTGTTTGCTTTGCTTTCCAACCTCCAGCTGCCTCCTGATGTCCGACACATCCACAGGGACTCGCACCGTCAGACCATCCATCCACTTCTTAACACGCACCTGGCAGCCAAGGCGAGAGCTGAGAAAACAACACTGAGTGAGGCTCATCCATTCCCACAGTAAAGGGAGAAATTCCCCACCCGCATCTGGATGTCTGGTCCAGGCTGGGTTTTTACTAAATCTCCTGTTAAAGGTCTCATGTGCCCCAAGAGAAAACAGCTCTAGAGGCACAACTGTACCACAGAATAAGTCCCATCCCCTTGGAAACAGGTGCCAGGAGAATCTGCCTAGGATGTTTGAGAACCCGCTGTGGTCAGCGGGCAGGCTTACGTCTCCGTCAGCCCGTACGCCAAGTCCAGCATGTCCAGCTCTTCATCTGAGATGGCATCCAGCTTCTGGAAGGCGTCCTTCTCAAAGATGAGGTGACAGGTGGAGCAGGCTAATGTCCCTTCACACGCACCTGGCAGAGAAATGAGGGGGTGACAGCGAATCGGCAAAAACAAGGGGGTGAGAGCACTCATCTTGGGGAACAGTGTGAGAAAAGGTCCTTTAGCAGACCAGGAGCATGTCAAAAGAGATGCCAGAAAACTCAACAGATGATGCAGATTTCAGCCTGCCTCTTCTCTGGGGGGATCCCAAACAGTTTCCAAATTTGTACATCAGCTCTAACCAGCCAAACGCATTGGCACAGGAATCCCAGCAGTGATGGCACATTGTCACCTCCGTGTGGCAAAGCAGCCCAGCAAGCCCAATTCATGGTCTCGCCAGAACACAGTGACATGTGTAGAGCTGGTCACAGCACAGACACATAAACCCCAAGAGCACACACCCTTGTGCAACACCTACCAAATCCATCAATGGCCAAGTTCTGATTAACTACCACTTCCAGCAAACTCTCCCCTTCTTTGGCCGTGGCTGTAAATCTCTCTCCATCCCGATTTATAAAATGCACCATCACCTGGTCCGCAGAGCTGTAAAACAAGTTTGCAGAAATCAGAGGAACCCACCCCTCCTGCACGCCCACCGCCGAGGTCTTTCAGATGAGCACTAGAGACATGATACTTGGAGGGAAATGTGCATACAAACACTTTCTAGAGGGATTACAGCACTCATGTCAGAAGAGATTCAGATTATCAGTTCTCAGTGACAGGCAAATCCCAGTTGACCTAAAATATTTCCCACTTTATCAAACATCCCTCAGAATAAATGTATGGCTGCACATGAACAAGTGCAGATGCTCTACACCTGCTGCCTATGCTTGGGCAAAGCATTTGCAAGTCCTGGGCCTGGGATATTACATCCCTCTGTTTAGGATTAACAAGAACAGTGCTCAGGTTCAGATGCTAACCATGCAATAAAGGCTGTTGTCATTCACATTTTGTTTCCCCTTCCCAAGGGGATTAATCGATAACTGTTCCTTTTCTAATGCTTGTTCGTTCATGAAGTGCCTGCTCCTTCCTGAACTCAGTCACAGGAAGCCTTGTTATGATGAGACATGCTCAGCCCCAGCTTACAGATCAACTGTGCTGAGTAACCCCTGAGCCGACGTGAGCCTCGCTCAGGAGACGCTGATAGTTATTTTGACAGCCTGTGAGATTGAATCTGGTAGAGAGTTAAGAACAAGGCCATCGGCATCTCTTAGTGCTGACTTGCAGAAACCACATCTCCAAATAAGACGGAAACAGCACCCACTTCATCCCCTCCAGAGCAGGCTCTGCTCCCCACTAGTGTGGAGAAGGCTGCCACCCTCAGCAGCAGTGTCGCGGGTTTCTCACTGAGACAGCGTATTCCGAGACCATCTGTCATACGGGCCAGGGGAGCAGACAAGCACGGGGTTTTCTTAGTGTGCAGACCCAAATGGCCACTGGGAAGCAGGAGGTACCAGCGATTCCGAGGTCCCAGCCCCTGTGCTGAAGCAGGGCAGTGGAGGTTTTGCCCAGTACCCTCCACTGTGGCACTGGCCCTGTGCCCGTCAGCTCAAAGCCCAGGACCTTCTCCAGTGCAGAAGCTGCCCCCACCCTCTTCTCATCTGTCAGGCCAACACCACACACTACTCCCAGGGCCCTAGAAAGATCCACCCCTGTCCCCAGAGATCTGACCAGCTCCCGAGCACTAGCGGTGCCAGTGTTGCCCGTGGCCTTGCTGCTGACATTTCTGGCACTGGAAGAACGAACACAGCCTTGGAGATAGAGCGGATTTCAGTGAGAACTGCCCAAGCTCACAGTCCCCTGATTTTTTTCCACTTACACAAGACTAAGCAAAGCTGCATCCAGCTAATCCCAATAAAAGTGCTGTTTGGTACAAAGCTTGCTAACACTTCTCCGGGAAGCCCTGGGGCCAGTGGAACAAGCAGCAAGTATAACTCAGAGCTCTGAGAATTTCCAACCTGCCAATTTCTTGCAATATAATTGCAATATACACCGATACAAAGCCACAGCTCTGGAGTCACATATCACTGCAAACCTGCCAGCGAGGAAGGGCTGTAGCACCTACACTCCTCTGTGCCAGGCATCCTCTTGGACAGTCACAAAGGTTGGGAGAAGGAACTGGTTAAGTGGGAATTGTCCCTGGGATAGCAGCACCAGCAGGTGGAAGGCCTTACCCTGCCTGCTCATCCCTCTCTGCTCTGTAGCAGATGACAATGAAGTATGTAGAGATCTCTGCTGATTTCCTTTGAACATTAAGCACAGAAATATATGAGGATCAAGCTTAAACAATTTTCTTTGCTCTTTCTTAACTCATAAGAGGCAGAGGTGGAGTATGGGGGAAGTATCCAGCTGAATAGGAGACAGGAAAGAATTCCTGTAAAAGTGTAATGAAAAAGGGAGAAGAAATTTTCTCTTTCAAGTTTTTGGGTCTTGTTCATTCTGCTTCACATAAGTCACAATCACCATCTAGATCTAATCCCATTCACCTGCTGACAAACCTCTGCAGTACATCTCTAAGTGACTAAGGATGCTGGTTTTTAAAATGCCACATGGGCTTGACCAGCAAAACTCCAGGAGCAGAAAATTCCAAACAATTATTTATTTGGAAAGCCAATCCCCATATTCCATCGAAACTTGGAACTGGAGAAAAGAGTGAAACAGTGTATTTTGCCTTTTCTGCTCTTTTGTTTTTAGTTGTGACTTGATTCAGCTAGCAGGAGCAGAGCCTAGGGGCCACTGTACCTTCATCTGAGGCAGCTGGCTTCCTGTTTTTCAGAAAGCTTCAGCAGAAAACAATGCCTGGGCCATTAGTCTACAGCAGGGTCCCCTGGTTATGAAAACAGCTGTGAAGTTAGCACTGAGACCACACTGCAAAGGGAAGAGTTTCCTACATGCAGAATGGAAGGATCACACTGCAGTCACACACAGCCAAGCAGGACCACACTACCTCCCAAAGCAAACAGCCAAAGAACATCTTTAAGACATTTCAGTCTCCTTCAGGGAGACACCCACAGACATTTCTTTGTAAATAAGCAATTTAAAGACTAGTTCTCAAATGTCAAAAGAAAACAAAAGAACCTTCTCTATATTTTGATGGATTAGACTCATTTATTCCATTTTTATGGCAAATAGGCACGTTTCCTGGCGATGTTGGTTTTACAGTTATGGGTGAAATAATTTATTACACAATAGCAATGGTAAAGTCACAGGACTTAATGCTGCAAGTCAATGCATTCTTCAAGGGGATAATGCAAGCTGCCTGCCTGAAGGCAGAGCACGATAGATCCAGCAATCCCAGGGCTGCACGCATGTTTACTGACAGAAAACTTCATTCGTGTTGTCTCTGGGGCACCTAGAGCCCACATCAGCCCCAGGAGGATCCCCACACCAGGCTTCCAGGAGTGCTGGGGGGATCAGTTCCCTGCAGCCCCTCCTGCCCACAGCCCTGCCAGTTAAACGAGCCCGGAGACAGGTGAGCTGCAGCCAGGGACAGCACAGGGGGATCAGGATGGAGAGGGGGGAGCGCAGATGCTGTGGCCACAGACCACCCGCAGGACTCTGCAGAGCCTGGGTGCAGCAGCTCCCCCTCCTCGGGAGCGGGGATGCGGCCAAGCGCTCCTGCCCACCACACAGAGGACCCATGAGCAGCTTCTCTCTCTTCCCTGGCTGTAAGGGAAATTTAAGCTGTTTGGCTGTGTTCGTGGTATAGATGCCTCTGCCGGGGTCATAAACCCAGCCTGATTACTCCCCATTTTCACTGTTCAGTTCAGTCCCCTCCCACAGACCTGCTCACATACTGGCCTAGTTAGTTGTCTTCACATCCCCCAAAACAGTCCCACGCTCCAGTCTCCTCCAGAGGAGAACTGCTTGGTGTACCCTAGGCTCCAAGAGAGCCCGGAAGGAAAACATGGAGATTTCTTCATTTTCTATTTACTGTTGAATTTGTTTATGCACATTTCTGAAACTATGAAAAAATTCCTTTCACATTTTGTTAAGAAAATTATTTTTGAACCAGGATTTTAAAAACAAGTCAAAATGGATTAAACCAATTTTTGCTTCATTTAGGCTGAACTATTTTACAATGTCATTATTGTCACAGGACACAGTCAGAGCTTTGGAAAGATCAGGATGTGACAAACTCAGCACTGCAAGTTCAACATTTGTCATCTGAGTATCCCCTTTCAAAAAAAAAAAAATCTCAAACTTTCTATGACACATAGAACTAGTGAAGGGAGTTTCAAGAATGTTCTTCTCCCTGTGTTTTTCCCTAAAAGATACTTTCCAAGGCCATACAAACCAACAAGATGCCTACAAGTACTGCCAGAGATAGCTTCATAAGCAACAAACCAAGTAGAAAGAGACCCCACTGATAACAAGCCTTCATAAATCCCATTAGGCAGAGTTATCAGTATAGTTTTTCTCTAAGGTCAGACAGCAAAATGTTTTATTGCATTTTCTGTGATGACAGTTGGGTTTTTTTCTAGCGTCTAGCAGATTGCCATCTGACCCAGATCATACTGAACTAGGGGATCTGTGCATTCCCTTTATTTTGCTCAGACAAATGCAATCTCCTTCTGAATTATCCTTCAGGAACAGACAGAGGAAAGACTGGCTACTTAGAGGTTACTTACAAGGCAGAGGTAAGCTCATCCCTCCTGGATGCAGCAAGGTCAGGTTCAGCATTTCACTCACCTCAACTCCCCAGGGGCGTCCTGGAGCTTGTGCGTGGAGCTGAAGCCTCTTCTCCACCACTGCTTCACTGGTGTGTGACACTGCTCAGCCACCTCACGCAGATAAATAAAACCAATCTTGCTCATATTCAGTCCACTCCACAAGGATCGCATGAGCCCCGAGATGCCACGAGCCATCATGCTCTGTCTCCTGGGCTGTTGTCTGTTGCAAGGCCAGCTAGATCAAGAGTTATAAGTACAGCTGAGGGGTGGGGAAGGGGGAAAAGAAAGGAAAAGAAAAAGAGGAAAAGCTAGGACAGCCTCCCTGGGGGTGGAGGGAGGGAGGAGGGAGGGGAAAGCAGAGGGAAAGATGGACAGAAGGATGGTGCTTGGATCTTGCTGCAGCCTAGTCCATCAGGGCACGGGAACTGGGCGAGATGAGCCCCATCTCCACATACCAGTCCCCAGCAATGCTCACCTCGTCCTGCCTCCCCGACCTCCCTTTTAGGAACCAGACCTACCTCCAGTTACAGGGGCGATACTCACTGCAGTGTCTGATCATACAAGAGGTTGCCAGTTGAGGGCTGGAAGAGCCGAGAGGAGCACAGAGCGCGGCTGCCTCAGGCAGGGGGGCACAGCAGCTCTTAGAGCCATGGGGCGTGAGTAGGCCCAACAGGTCCCGCTCTTGACTGGATTGTCATCGAGCCACATCACTGCCTGCCCCAGTGCTGCAGCTCCCAGCTCTAAAATGTGAGTATTCGCTTCACAGGACAGTGGTGAGGAAGCAGCCACACTTTGCTCATTTGCTAAATTCTCTGCTGAAAAGTGTCATAAAGGCACAGATAAGGATTATTTATTTCACACTGATAGTTCATGCTAGTGAAACTTCTGTAAGAAGAAAACTCTTAAACGTATTCCCAGAAACACTGCCATTAATTTAGTCTACTCTCACCTCCAGGGTAAATCAATTTGCCCCCGAGGACCAAAATGCAACAGAGGACACAGTTTCAGTTCCTGGGTTTTGTGGAGTTTAAGAACAGCTCTCACCTCAGGAGCCCAAATTGTTCCTAATACCAAATTAACGTTTGCTTTAATCAAGTTTTTTTAATGCAGTAATGTATCAGTAGTCAGTATAAGCAAAAGCCTCTGAAACTAGACTCTCTCTAATCAATCCATACAGAGGAGATAAACTACACATGAGAACTAGCTAGAAATTGTTCAGAAAATGAATCCTCAACACACACACTGTGTTTTGAAGATAATTAGAAAGTTTTGGTTTTCCACCCCAAAATGAAAGTTTTCTACCCAAAGCTTTCAGATTAGAAGCAGATCCTTAAACCTTCTGAGAAAAGCATCGAAGGCACTGAGTGCAAGAATTTTCCATAAGGAGTGGGGAAGGGAATCCTATTCTTCAGTTCAATAAAGTTTTAAAGGCCAGTGTCCAAGCATTCAAACATGCCACCGAGGACCTGCAGTGGAGAGAAACTCATGGACAATGCATAAAGGATTAAAAAAGAAAAAAAGATTTCTTAGGGGGAAATCCAGTTTCAAAAGTCACCTGTCCAGTTCCCTCTCTTCCCTCTGCACCTGGTAGAGCAGCACAGAGCATTTCATTCCACCTCACTCCCATTTGCCAAGTGCAGGCTGGGCATGACTGCTCCCGTGACAGGGCACAGGCAAGAGGAGCAGGCAGTGCTCTGTGGAGGGACGTGATCTGAGGCAAGAGATTCGCATTTGCAGGGCATCACTGACCAGTCTCCTCGCCCCTTGTGCCAAACATGGGTGACACATGCCAGCTCAGTACACGAAGGGTTTGGCCACCAGCAGTCACAGCCCTGCAGCAGCCTCGCGCCAGCCCTGGCTCATTGCACAAATGCATTTTTTCTGTTGCAGGATTTGCTCCTCAGGTTTTGTTCAGACCAACAGCTCTGTGAGCGCAGAGAGGGTGGGACAAACCACTGAGTATCACCAGGGTTTTGATCCAGGGCGAGTGGTACCCCTGAGCCTGGAGTGGGCGAGAGCCACAGTGCGTGTCCCGGGGAGCAGCAGGGCCGGGCACGGCGCAGACTGCCCAGCCATGCCCAGGGTCACTGCGACTGCTCTGTAATTCCACCCCTTGACCCCAGCTAATGTAAAAATTCCTTACTTCCAACCATCTGTAGAGTGTCCTTCGAAGGCTTCCCCCCCCCCTCGCTCCTATGGGAGGAGAGCTGGCAGGGGCGTGAGCATTTGCTTTACCTGGACGCAGCCCTGGCCAGCGTCCCTGCTCTGTGCCCCCTCACTCAGGTCAGCCTTTCCAGGTGGTTTGCTCTCTCTTGCAAGCTGCCCTGAATGCCTCAGCCTTCAAACTCAAATTCTTGGGCTGCAGCTCACCCCTGAATTTAACATCCATCTGTGCAGCCTCCGCAGCCCTGCCTAGCCCTGCCTGCTTTTCAGGCCCTACAGGGAGGCAGCATTTCGGTGTCTCAGGCATTTCCATAGCAGGAAAGCAAGACTTGCCATGAGCGACACAAGGAAAGGGGCCACAGCACATCCAAACAAACCACAATGCATCTTATCTCTCCAGCAAACCTTGAACAGAGAAATACACCAGATATATGTGCAGTCGTTTTTCACAGCAAGGACACGTGTGTGTTTGCCCGGCCCTGACCCCTCCCCGTGCCAGGAGCTCAGAGCACACCAAGTGATGGGTCAGTGCCACCCGACGGGAGAGGGGCCAAGGCAGAGAGGGGTGTGGGGTCTGAGCACACCCAGCCCTGCAGAGAGGGGGGCACCAGTGGCCTCTGCTGAAAGCAGGAACGGCCTGCTGGAGGAGGAGAGAATCACACTCTGTACCGAGTTCGGATAGCCTGTTTTAGGGTCTTTGAAACGGGGAAAAAGGCCAGAAAAGTAAGATCATCTTTTCCTTCCTCTTCCCCAATTCCATCTAGCAGCAAGTCTAGATGTAAACGCAGCCTTTCCAGAGTAAACCAGTGTTCATTTAGCCCAGGACACAGAAATAGAAAGCTTTGCAAATAACCACCCCTCCTACAAAAAACAAAAAACGAAAAAAAAAAACCAAACCAAGCAAAAATATCCTTGCTTTGAAAAAACACTCTCAAAATGTTGCTTTGGAGATCAGCACACACTTTATGTGCAGGAAAGACACTGCCGAAGTGAATCTTTAACTCTGTTTCACAGAGGTCTGGCAGAAGACAAGTTTCCACGGGTGTGCTCACATGCTCACACCCCCCCGGCCCCCACCCTGCTTGCCAGCAGGTCACACTTTGCTGTTGGTGTGGTGGCTGTGCCTACACCTCTAGCGATGTGTTAGCACATGCTGGCAAGGAAGTGGTTTTCTAGCTCAAAACACGTTGCACCAACGCAAAGGACAATTTGCCCCTGCCCCAGTCTAGGGACTCTCATGCTAATGCCCAAAAGAGCTAAGAGGTGCCATTAACTCCACCTCATCCCTGATTTCTGCACAAAAAGTAAAACAGACTGAAGTCAGCACTGCACTGACCCAACAAAAAGTTCCACAATACCAGAAGCACACCCAGACCTTCTGAGGTATCGTCAGAGTTCCAATCCTTCCATGGGCGGTGCAGTAAACAGAGAGAACGTCAGCACAAGGCCGACTTGCATCGGTTCCTTTGGGCAGGAGATACTCTGAGCAAACAGCTCTGACCAGAAGAGCTCTTCCATAAACTTTGTGGCTTCCAAGAGATCATAGACGGAAGGTTTAAAATTATCTTATTAGTCTGCTGCTTCTCTGAAAGCAGATGGAAACCATTGTGTAATCCTGTTATTAATATACACATTAATACAGTTTTAACGATGCTGCAGTTCTGGGGTTGTGACAGTAACTCCACTACCATTTGAATCAAGATTTGATACATTTGATAAATGGAGGAAGAAGTTCCTCCGCAAAGGAGCAGAAGAGGAATCAGAAGGAGCAGGAAGCACCAGGAGAGGCAGCCTGTCCTGCAGCAGAGCAGCCAAGAGAGCAGGAGAGGGAAGAGACAAAAATCTCACACGAGTCAGAAACCACCTGGCTCCTACCCATGGGCAAGCTACAACATACACAGAAAGATTACAGGTGTCATCCAGGCAAGCAAAGTAACACCTGTCTGCTCCAGTACTGGAGGATTTCATCAAATCAGTACTTGATAAAATCCCAGGTGACTGACAGTGGAACTCCCACAGGAAGAGTGTCCAGAGTGGAGGGAGGACCTGAGCCAGAAGGTCAACAAATCATGACAACACTGAAGGCCAGCACTGAGCCCCGTCACAGAAGCCACTGCCCCGGCACCGTCTGGAGCAGGCAGGAGCGGCCGCGCTCTCCCCGGGTCTGGGGGCCGGTGGTCTGGGCACGCCAAGGGCACGGAGCTGGCGGCCTGAGCTGAGGTCTAGGAAATGAGCCACCAGGTTCAGCCACAATTCCTCTGCCTTAGAAGAAACACATCGTCCTCTGTGCCTTGTTTTACCTCTAAAGAAGCAGGAGAAAGGATTCTTGGTTGGCCTCTGAGGAGCGTGGATGAAGGATGATGGATGAGACAGAGAAGTGCTCTTGCCAGAGCTGCACCGTCTCAGTCATGCCAAGAGACAGCCAGAAGCAAACCTGCACTGTTCCCACAGGTGAAGTCTCAGGGACTGCAGTCAGAGCAGCAGACACACAGACCCAGGAATAATAAAGGTTTCCAGAACACAGCCTCCGTTCTTAACTTGAACAGCAAGAACAGATCACCCCCCCACCTCCTGCCAAGCCCACCACCTCGGAGTCCTGCGAGGGAGCAGATACAGGCTGCTTACGTGCACAGAACTAAAGCCACTGAACTAAACTAAAATTCTCCTTCCTTGTTGTCACTACGAAAACCCATCAACCACCCTTCCTGTTCCAGAACAAGCTGCTAATAAAAGCAAGTAGGACAAGTTGTGCTTGTTCTGCTTTCTCCAAGCCCACAAGAACCAGGTACAAAGTGCTGCCCCGAAGCAGATGTACTGACACAAACCTGCAGACCAAGTGCTCACATCAGGTGTACTCAAGCCACAGACACTGCCACGGAGACTGGAAGCTGAGGGGGAAGACGGTCAACATGTCTCATTTCTCTCTCAAACAAGACCACCGCTCATCCACTCCAGCCTTTCTCTAGGTGTTCCGCAGCCTTCTGAGAATCACTGCCAACAGGAGCAAGGGCCCAATTTTCACCACTGGAAGCAAGAGGGCAGCAATGCAGTCATTGGAGATGGGCCAATACAGCAACAAGGAAACAAAAAATTCACAACAGCGCTTCTTGACAGCAGCCACTTCTGCAGTGCAGCTGCTGCCCGGCTGAGTGAAGGCCACCGAGAAGTTACAGTGCCCCAGCCAAGGCCTTGCAGATGCTTCTCCTTTAGTCAGGGATGCTCCAAAGATAGATGGGAGCACATGTGGGGTATAGACAGCCTTCACCATAACCTCCCAGCTCAAGAACAGTATATTCCACATTACCTTGACCCTTCAGTCAGTCTTGTTGATTGAAGATCAACCCTGTCCGGTATTTCTTTAAAAGATGATCCACAGCTGGAGGCAACAGCAATCACAAGTGCTTGTAATTTTCCAGCTAGCTCTGCTCACTTGAAAGCAGCATCAATGGCATTAACACCTGCTCAGAGCAAGTGCATTCTCAACAGAAGTCAGAGGATCAGTCCCTGCCAGGAGTTCCCAGTATTCCTTTTTGCAGTCTCAGCACTACTCTTTCCTTAATGTCTCCTCATTGTTCTTTACTCCACTTTTCCCCATACCCACTTCATGCTTCCTTCTACCCTGAGAGACTCCATCTTAAAGTTGCTAGTAACTTCCAGAGACCCATCACTTACAGCCATAAGGACCTGCACCCTTATCCACAAACTGCATTTAAATTAGAGCTGCAGACATGCAAGACAAAGGCCAGCCTCAGCCTAACATTCAATGCACTGAGGCCCAGATTCTTTTTCTTACAGATAAGTTATTTTTTCTGTAAGGGAGACATTAACATCATGAGTCAACTTGCATAAGGGTATGCAGCAGTTATGGGTCGACATCAGCCACAGATGATTGCACTGCTCTCTGCCAGTTGTCACGTGCTCCCATTACACACTGGTGTAAGATCATTGGACTGTCTGCCCAAGACTGTGTTACGTACAGCTGGGAAGCTGGTACTCAGCAGGAGTCACACTGACTGGACAGGACAAAGCAGCCATTCCTCAGCTACTTGCTGCTTTCTCATCGAGATATAGTCTGTTCACAAGTGTGCAAGCAGCTGCTGTGCAACTGTCTACAACTATCATACCTTGTCCTGTGCGTTACCAGGCTTTGCAAGGTGTTGGAAAACAGCGATTAGATGCAGCTGCTGAACAGAGAGCTGCTGCAGCATGAAGCACCAAGTCTGAAGCCAGGTTACAGACAGAAGTAGCAGCTTCTAGGACCAGCTAAAGTGAGAAAGAGGGGAACAAGTCTTGTTTGGTATCTCAGACTATTCAACCCCAAACAGATTTCAAGAAGATAGTGCTGTCAAGTCAGAGTCCTACCCTGATAAGTAGAGCGCAAAATCTAGTTCTTACTGCTGTAGTTACTAACAGTTACTAACACAGTTCCCTTACTGCCATAGTTACTAACAGTATCCTACACAAACTGACCTGAACTGCCACGACAACATTTTTTTTAATGTGACGAACAATAATAGAATAAGTGGCTGGGAAGCTCCCAAGCCTGGTCATCTGTTCACTGAGAATCTCTCACGAGGACACTTCAAAAATAAAAATGCCCATGCTGCCCTCCAAATGTTTTAGCCTGAACAAGCAACCAATAAGCTTGTCACCTACTTGGAGAAGTCCCTACAAGACCTGTTTACACCAAAACAAATCAGAATTTAGAGACCAGCCCCTTGGTAATTCCCTGCCTTAAAGTGAAAACAAGAAAAGGAAAAAGCAATCATAGCCTTATTTCTACAGTTGCACTGACTCCAAGTAGGAGGACAAAGTATCCTAGGCCAAGTGGATTAGTCCACCAGACAAATGTATCTCAATAAAAACTTGATTCTACTGTTACTTTGGCTTTTAAGTTCAGTAAGCTCCACTGCTTAATAAAACCACATTCCAGAGCCTGCAAAAAGACAGTGTTTCTGGTCCCCAGTTCGTCTGAGAGCTTTTTATGCTCCAGCCTGTCCCTATCCCACAGAAAAAAAAGTCATCTGGGCCCCAGCACTTGTAGGTATGGCCTAAACTGGATCTGAAATGTAATACAGACTACAAATCCCACAGAAGCTGTCTACACAAACTAGAGCTTAAATACAAGTTGTTGATTCTAAACTACAAAAATGCCTTCCAACAGATCAGAAGAATCAGGTGTTTTTGTTTTGAGGTTGTGTTGTGGATTTTTTACACTATGTAGTCCTGTGGAAGCAGCCTTCTGCCATTAATGCTTTGCACTTCATTTCTTTAAAGACAAACTGAATATAGATATACCTAACTGGAGAATTACTAAGCCTCCTAAATCTCCATGGATACAGGCAAGGGAATCCATGAAAGCTGGACCACACATGCAGAAGAGTAATCTGGCTGCAAGAGCAGAGTCCTCAGAGACTCCAAAAATTATTGTGCATTGAGAAGCAAGGGCAATAAAATCATTAAGAACCCCATTTGTGAGAGCAACCCTTCCAGAGCAGCACAACCCTCACCTGAAGGCTGTGGCAGTACTGGAGCAGACACACAATTCCTCCAGGGGGGTTCAAGGTTTTGGAATCCTGGAAGGAAGAAACGAGAAAGACCCACCTATGGAAACTGGCTCTGCGCCAGGCCTGGCAGGGATTGCAGAAGTCTCTGCTGCTCCACACTTCACGTTTCGCTTACAGACAAGTTCAGGTTCGTCCCCTAGCACCAGAACTCTGCGCACTAACACACTCTGATGGAATCTCTGCCTTATTCTGCAGGGCAGCAACCGCGAGGCTGTGGTTCTGCAAAGCCCCTCTTCACAACCACGCTGAGTGCAGCTACAAACAGAGACCACAGAGTTAATTAGCAGGAAGGTGTCAGCAGCCACACTCCTCCATCACTGCTCCCAGGGCCAGGCGCAGCGCCGAGACCCCGCGCCCCCGGCACCCTCACCTGGGTGCAGGCGCAGCAGGCACTCACCCACAGCGAGATCCAACAGCGGCTCCTCCTCCATTTCCCCCATCTGATACAAATTTATACTCAGTGTCTCCACAGAGAAATGTGAATTCCAGTACTGGCTCCAGTCAGCTTGGAGGGCTGGGGAGGGGGAAAGGGAGGTTATTCAAGCACTTGCTTTTCAGGAGGCAAGTAAGCGATGTCCTTATTGATGAGAGTGCTTCAAGGCCAGTAACCTCTGGGGAGCCCCACGGCAGACCTGTTTAGCTTGGAGACACAGCACTAGACTCAAAGCAACCTTAAGTAACCAGCCAGACACCATCTGCTGAATTTCTCTGAACTTTATTGGCACTTTAGGAAGAACAGGGTATGGATTTTAACAACTCCTCGAAACAGGGGGAAAAAAAAAAAAAGCCTGAATATCAAGGTTCTCTCTGCAGATAAGTACATGGACCCATGAATTATTCCACAACTTTAATGAACTGATGTTTTATTATAATCCAGTAAAAAGACTGGTCAAAAACTTCCAACATAATTTACAGCAACAAATAAAACAAGAAAAAATAAGCCAGGCAAACATTTGATAAAGTACTTCCCCAACCCCCAAGAGGAGTAGTTATCCAATTAAACTGGAACATGAGAGGAAGAACAACTCACTGTATTCTAACAAATAAAAAAATGTGTCTACAAATCTCATTGTAATACTGAAAGCTTCTTAACATTAGTTTTCTTGCAAAATATCATTTCTTTACAATACAGTATACATTTCCAAGGGAAGGAGGACAATAAAAACATCCTCTATCCCATGACTAATATTTTCTAATTGTGCATAGCTAGAAGTACTGAAATCAAATATCATTAGATACCACTTGAATATAATACTGGTTAAGAAGGCAGCAGGGCTGAAACAACTACAAAGAGTTAGGTGGACTCACTGGCACAAGCCGTTCTATTCCTATACTGGACCATCTGGAATTAGAACGGTTAGAAAAACCCAATAAACAGAAGTCATGCCAGAATCATAATACATGAGCTCAGCAGTGTTGTGTGACCCATCAAAGCATAAAAGGTTTACTGGTTTATTATTTGAACACATATTCCAGGCACCATACATCAGCTTGTTAGGAAATTGTTAAAATGTAATAAAGGCTTTTCTCCCCCCAAATGCATCACTAGTTGCCACAGACAGAGCAGAAGTGCTGAGAACCAGCTTTAAAGCACCAAAACAGAAGTGCAAAGGTTGTCTGTTCCCTCAGTAACGAGACTCACATAGAGCCAGTGCCAATAACCCTCCCATATAGAAATACGCCAATCAGTTCTGACAAATTTAACTGCAATCTTTCATTTGTGACTTTCAAAGTACCGAGGCATGTGTTTTTGGCCAACCAAAAGCTTTCCATGCCGTGCATCCCCCAAAAGCATGCTGTATCCAGGGGAGAGAGAGGGACTCCCATGTGATCCACCTGAATGTTTAGAAGCAGCATGCTGAGCTCATGCTCCTAACGGAGGTTGGTCAGTTGGTATTTGTGTGGATCTCCACACAGACTTCTATTGCTTCCAAAAAATATATAATACAGCACTGGTAAGGTTGTTTCTAGCAACCCAAGGAATTATTGGGGAAATACTGCAGTTTATTAACACTATCATGAACAATTCTTTTTGGCACAGTCCCTCTTTACCTTTCCCGTAGAGCGGGGAGCTGAAAATGCTCTAGCATTCAGATGCTTTCCTTCTATCACCACTAGCAGTGATATCATACAATGGGGGAATCCACAAAGCTGAGAAAGTCACAAGACTTAGCATCATGCTAGGCAAGAAAATAAATCCCAGGCTAGCCTGATGCCTTCCTACATGGACAGGCCAATCCAAGGAGGGCAAAGCAAAGGAGGACTCCATTGCAGATGGAATCCATTTTTAAGAGGCCTCTTCTGAACATTAACATGTCCTTCTACAAAGGATCAAGGCAAAATCCAAGTCAACCCTGAGCACACACAGCTGATTCCTCCCCAGAAATGGCAGGAAGGATTCTGGGCAGCCACAGCATGGAAGACAGGAGGTGATGGGTATTACAACAGTTGGTACAACAGCTCTCGGGACCAGCCTCACAACCACTTGTGTCCCACTGCTGAGACAGAGCCTTCTGTTCTCAAAGCCACAGAGGGGCAAAGCATCCTTCTGGGGAAGGAAAAGCACTTCAGCCAGGGATCTGGCAGAACATCAGTGAGGATTAAGGCAGCAATTGGACAAATATCTCAGGATCCTCTCCCCTTAAATACTGCTTGAAGCCAGGAAGACAGATGCAGTCTTGTACATGTCCCAGATACAAGAATAGTTTTTGGTCCCCAGCTGCTGATCACTTTTTATGATTGCATCTAGTTTAAACTATAGACATCTGAGTTACAGTAGATCTATACAGTCATAAGGCACCAATGACTATGTGCTAAAAAGGCCTATTATGGAAAAAAAACTGAAATCCTATTCACATGACTGGAAATGTATTAGTTCAGCAAGGGAATACACAGCTACAAGAATTTTTAGTCTTTTACATTTCTACTCACCCCTTTAGGTCTCCATTGGCAAACCCCAAAAGGCAAGCAGCATTCTTTAGCTATCTCTGCCTCACTGGTTACCACTCAAGTCAAACAAATGACAGTGAACAAAGCCATTTACCAGAGACAACACTTCTGGAAAGCAGGGAAGTCAAGGCTCCAAACTACACTGCATCAGTGAACATATTTCAAAGGCCTCCTCATGGTTAAGAAATTAAAAAGTTCCATCATTAAACAACAAAAGGTAACACCAGCAGGAACGCCACAGAATCTGTTTGGTCTGTTTATGTTTGAAGGACAAAAGCTTTGGTCTTTTAGGAAGTCCACATTCTACTTCCAACACTTCTTCCTAAGCTCCAGCCTCCCCTTCTCAACTACATGGTTCAGACCCTGTATTTAAGTCAGAAATTCAGACCCTGGCTACTAAGCTTAATACTGAAGCTTGCACAAGTTAGTAGGAAGGCACAGTGTCAAACTGTTAGCGCTTTACTGTACGTAATTCAGTAAAAGTATCTGCTGGCCTCCCCACCCAACAGGGGAGGACAGCAACACAGCCACGTCAGTAAGCAACACAAAACTAAATGCAGTGAGACTTTACCCAAAGCCAAACAATCTCAGATTTGCCCCAGTAAATGTTTGTTTTCCCAAGCCACCCCAGGAAGATGACTGCTATTCCTTCTTCTGTCGCTTAACTCCAGCATTTGCCCAAAACTTGATAAATAAGACCATGGTCACTCTTCTGTAGTGGTTCCAGCGTAGCACGATTATGAGTGAATGATGGGAGAGGATGGGAAAGAGGGGAGAAGAGAGTGCAGGGCAGCAGGTGCAAGGGAGAGTTTACATGGACTCAAACTCATCAATTCGCTGCTTGGTGTTGCCCTGCCGAATCTGACGGAGGGTCTTGTACTTGTCTCGGCCTAGACGCATGTTCTCAGCGTGGATCATATCATTGGTCGTCTTCTTGGTTTCATCCCGAGCATTTGCCAACTCTGAGGAAAGAGCCTTTGGAGAAGGGGAAACAGACAGCAGTGGGTTAGCACATGCCAGACTCCAAGCTGGACAAGAAGGTTCCTTGCTGATCCTCCCAAAGATTCAGTATCACGGAGACAGGAAACAGATAAGCCCAAATGTTAACAGTTCTGGGCAACCTGCTCTAGCTGACCCTACTTGAGCAAGGAAGTGGGACTAGATGATCTTAAGAGGTCCCCTCCAACCTAAACAATTCTGTGATTCTGTAGAAGTTGTTAATATTTTCCCCTAACATTTGAAGGTAGAAAACATCAGGCAGTCTGTCACCCTATTTATCTTTGTCTAGCACAGTAAGAGAAACCAACTCCACTGTACTTATGAAGAGTCAAGTGGAGAGATCCCTAAAGACAACAGGAGCATCTTGCAGAATTTGAGCAATTACTACCTTTTACCAAAAAAGAAGCTTGCTGCAGAAGATAAAAGTGCACCTCTGTCACTCTGCTGTGCACAACCACCGCAGCACAATGCGAGTCAGTCAGCTAGCAGGCAGCGTAACAAAATGCTTAAAAAGAATCAACACCAGGACACTGTCGTTCCTTGTAAGGTGGTGGTGCAGCACTGCTCCCTCCACACTGAGCCCTGGTGTGTTGCTCTCGGGGTTTTGCAACACAACGCAGTCAGACAAGACAGTTACCAACAGCTGCTCAACAGGAGCTGGACCAAGCTCTCCGATTCACCGCAGCCAGGGCTACAGACAGCTGTCAGATGGCCGGCCAGACTCACAAAAGCACACTGTGTCTGACAGATGCTGTTTTTTGGCACTGCTTGAAAATACTTCGCTACTTCCAGCAAAATGGAAGTGCCAGGAGACAAGATCTGCCCCTCTGCTCAGTAGTTAAACAGCTACCTGGCAAGATCATGATTCCCCCTTCTTCCCCACCACCCTTTTCTTTTAAATATCAGTAATACCTCCCAGCTGCAATGAATGGTGAGAAGAACAGAAGCAGCACCCTCTCTGCTGCCAAGCTCTTACCTTCAAGTGTTTCTGGACCCGTTCATTCTTCTCTGCCTCAGTGGTGCGCTGCTCCTCACTGCGGTCCTTGATGGTGGCCTCTGATCGTAGCTCAGCACTGGCTTCTGCTGCATTCTCATCCTGCTCGTCATCGTGCTCATTCTCAGAGTGCATGGGCTCAGTGACGTGAGGGGTGCTCATGGCTGTCTTCAGCTCCTCTTTTGTCTTTTCTAGGTCCTCCTGCACCATCTGTGCCTGCAATAGGGCATGCCACAGTAAGTCAGTGTAAACTTGAGTGTGAGAGACTTCTGGCAGAAGCACTGCTCAATGCTTATTACAGGAAACCTTGCACCTCTTACACGTTGAAGTGGTACATTCCAAAGCTACTCTGCCGCAATCATTTGCAAAACTTTCTGCTGGATAACGCTTCAGAGATTTGAAGAATGATTGTAATTCATGGAAAATGGGCTATAGGCCTAGTAAGTCAAAAATATTTCTACATGGAGTTAGAATACGGCACTCATTCCAGCAAGAAAACTAAGCTGAGTATTTAGAACAGCCTCAAGCTCGCAGACACTCAGTCTAGT